GGCTTTGGTTTGCAGGGTCAACAGTACCTGATGGGAAGAACTCCTGACCCCCAGTGACTGGCCTACACTTCCAAATCCTGCCGATGAGCCAGGCTGGCGGTGCTGTCATTAGCAGTTGCCTATTCGTGTTTAGGCTACAATTTATACTTAGGTATAGTGCCTTGAAAGAGGGGAGGGAGGGAGTTGGAGAGTCCTGGGAATGGAGTTCTAGAGAGTGTGCACCCGCCCGCCCTCCCTCCTACCAATGGTGCGCTGGATAGAGCAGGGGACGGGGAGTAGGCAAGTATCAGCCGAGCAAAGGAAATAGCATTGTATGGGTGAAGGAGGTGGAAAAGGAGTGTGGGTGCGAGACCACAGAGGGATTTAAACGGGAGAACAAAGATTTTAATAATATTATTAGTAATAATCCTTGCATTTGATATAGCGCCTTATCATGTCTTCGAGATGTCTCAAAGCGCTACATTAGCACTAGAGTCTCACAGAATATACCGTAAAGTGAATCGATTGTATATTTTGTGGGCGAAACGCGGCAGCCAATCGCGCACAGCAGCGTCCCACAGACAGCCGTGGATTGAGTGACCAAATTATTTTCATTTATTTTGAAGGAATTATTACCCCTGTAAAAGCGATCCGCCAATTGAGTAACAACCGGGTTCCTACTTACTGCTCGGTAAACAGAGGCGTGTGGAGCGAGGAAACTTCCCCCAACGTTTCGTTCTGCCCAGGAATTGAACCCAGGTCCTCTCCCTTGCGAGTCAAGTCCACGTGATAATTTTTCACCTGCGAGCGGAGATTGTTTTGGATTGAGCGACCAATTTATTATTCTTATTTTTTGAAGGAATTATTACTCCCGGAAAATCGATCCACCAACCAACCAGCAACAACAATAACAACAAGATTGCATTTATAGAGCGCCTTTCACGTCGGGAGGACGTCCCAAGGCGCTGGACAGTTGGGTCGGGACCCGAGCATTGGGGGGAGATGGTCAGGGTGAGGGGAGGGAAGGGAGGGAGCGAGGAGGGGGTAGAGAGTCGAGGGGGGAGCTGAAGGCACGGCAACCGGGTTCCTACTTACTGCTCGGTAAACAGAAACGTGTGGATTAAGGAAACTTGCCTAACGTATCGCCCCGCTCGGGAATCAAACCCGGGTCTCTCGCTCGTGAGGCAAGCGCTCTAACTGCTGAGCCACAGGACTCTGCGCCTTGAACTCAATCCGCAAGAGGTGGGTGGGTAATGGGAAGCCAGCGGAGACGTGGAAGAAGGGAAAGCAATAGGAGTTACGCACATGAGGTGAAGTGGAGCATCAATGAATACTTAAGTGAGTCAATCACACTGTCTGCGTTAAAGGGAGCAGAAACCCATTGAATACGGAGCCTCTTTAGATTGAATTGTAAGCAGTACAGTGCTGTGCGTGTCAGACCGACTGAGGGGGGAAAAGTGCTCAAGGAGATGATGTTCGGATTACGCTCTCCTCTCAGGGCAGTGAGTAAGTGAGTGATTCAGTATGGCTCAGAGCAGCTACCTCGCGTTTCTGTCTGAATTACAGGCTCATTCGCTCGATTGATTGTAGCTCGAAGCTGCCCGAGAAACTAATAGCTGTGCAGCGGCTGCCGTCCGCCCTACTCCGCAGCCTGTGTGTTCGATCCTGTCACCTGTAGCTTTATCCTCGTCGTACTCTTCTCCCTCCTCCACCCACTCCCTCTCTCCCTCCATCGCCCACTCCCGTTCTCCTTCCATCACCCATTCCCTCTCACCAACACCCCCTCCCTGGCTCCCTCCATTCACTCCATCCATTTTCTCCCTCCGCCCGCCCACCCATGCCCTCTCTCTCTCTCCTCCACCCACACTCTCTCTCTCCCTCTGTCAACCACTCCCTCTCTTCCTCCTCCATCCATTCACTCCCTCCCTCCTCCATCAGCTCCTGCTGTCACCCAATCCCTCCCTCATAGACTCCTCCCCATCACAGACGCCTACTCTCACAGCTCCTCCCCTCATAGGCTCCTCCTTTCATAGGCTCCTCCTTCCAAAGACCCCTCCCCTCACAGGCTCCTCCTTTCATTGACTCCTCCCCTCACAGGCCCCTCCTTTCATGGACCCCTCCCCTCACAGGCTCCTCCTTTTATGGACCCCTCCCCTCACAGGCTCCTCCTTTCATGGACCCCTCCCCTCACAGGCTCCTCCTTTGATGGAAGGCTCCTCCTTTCATAGACTCCTCCCCTCACAGGCTCCTCCTTTCATGGACCCCTCCCCTCACAGGCTCCTCCTTTCATGGACCCCTCCCCTCACAGGCTCCTCCTTTCATAGACTCCTCCCCTTACAGGCTCCTCCTTTCATGGATCCGTCCCCTCACAGGCTCCTCCTTTCATGGACCCCTCCCCTCACAGGCTCCTCCTTTTATGGACCCCGCCCTTCATAGATTCCTGCCATTAAGTTTCCACCCAAGGTGTAATATTGTCTTGGGTGTTTGTATGTGGGTCGCTGCTGTGCGCAATTGACTACCGCGTTCCGCCCACAAAATACACAGTCACTACACTTGACAATATATTCTGTGAAGCACTTTGAGACGTCTCAACGGCCCGATAAGGCGCTGCATCAAATGCAAGGGTTATTAAATTATTATTATTATTAATAGCAGCCGTTTCACTCCCGTTAGTGGTTTGAGCAGTATTCTCATTGCCAGTAAATGCCCACAAACAGCAGACAGAGGGAGGGGGTAATGGGGAAGAATTATCAAGCCCGATCTATAGCAGTAACTGATCCAGGGTGACAGCCCGCCCACCCCTCCCCAGATCGCGACTGCACGGTATGTATACAGACCGGCGAGCGAGCGAGCGAGGGAGGGAGGGAGTTAACTCGGATTTTTAGGATAGCGTTTTCGATTTTGATACTATAACATCGACGACGACGACAGCTCGTGTTTATACAGCGCCCCTCCCGCAGGGTAGGGTCCCTGGGTGCCCGGTTGACGGCAGATTACCAGCCTGAGCCCGGCCATAACATGAGCTCGCACAGAACCAGCCCAGCGTGAAGAGATTCTGATACTCGCTCATCCCACCCCTGACCTCGCTGAATGTCTCCTCCATCCGTTAATCTCTTGCAATCATTCACCCGGCAACTTTCTGTGCTCTTCGAGACTGCAAAGCTCTCAGTGTGTTACGCGGAAAAGAGAGGGAGGGCGAGGGGAGCGTGGGTGCTGGCTGTTTTTGTGTTGCGATCCCCCCCCCCCCCCTCACAAAATATACTGTGAAGTAAATTGACTGCATAATTTGTGGGCGAAACGCGACAGCCAAATTGCGCACAGCGGCGTCCCCACAAACAGTCGTAGGCTGAGTGACCCAGTTTTTAAAAATGTTTGGAAGGGATTATTACCCCCTGAAAAGCGATCCGCCATTCGCCTAACAACTGGGTTCCGACTTATTGCAAGGTAAACAGAGGCGTGCGGAGTAACAAAGTGTTTCGCCCCTGCCCGGGAATCAAACCCAGGTCTTCACGCTTGCGAGGCGATTATTTAATATATTTTTACGTATTTAATAAATAATATATAATCACATCCCCAACGCGATGCTGAGGAATGTGCCACATTGTCAGAGGTGCCTTTGAATGAGCCGTTAAACCGAGGTCCCATCTGCCCGTTTAGGTGGATGTGAAAGACCCCGAGGCACGGCGCGAAAAGAGAAAGGATTTTCTCTCCGTATCTTTAAACGGCCACAACTAATCTGGAGCTTCTTAGCTCTGTGGCAACTTTTGTGTGGTGCTTTGGTGCTTTTACCAATTGAAGCCTCAATGGAGACATCGCTTAGGAGCACTTGAAGCCTGAGAAAGGCCCGTCAGTTGCCGTGGAAACCAGTGGCACCTCGTGTGTTAACTGTGCGTGTTAGAGCAAAGCGTTTATGCCTGATGTCTGTTTCCATCGCTGTCGCAATGAGGCAACGACTAATGGAAACCTTACAGACTCCAATTAGCCAAACCCCAAACTGGAGTGAACAACACATTAGCACAATCTCTCTCTCTCTCTCTCTCTCTCTCTCACTCTATCTCTCCAACTGTTTCACTCTATTCCTCTCTAACTCTACGTCTCTCTAACTCTACCTCTCCCTAACTCTATATCTCTCTCTGTTTATTTCTCTCGAGTTCTCTCCATTTCTCTTTTTGAGTCTCACTCTCTATCTTTAACTCTATCTCTCTCTCTCTCTCTAACTGCCTCACTCTATTTCTCCCTATCTCTCTCTGTATCTCTTTAACTGTCTAACTGTCTCTCTACTCTTTATCTCTCTCTGCCTCTCTCTCCCAAAATGTCTTTCTAACCGTGATTCTCTCTATCTCCAACTCACGTATTTCCCTATCTCTAACTGTCTATCACTATCTTTCCCTAACTCTCTCTAACTGTTAACTCGCTACCTTCACGTCCCCCGCCTCGCCCGCCCTACCATTGGCGGGCGGGCCTTCTGCCACTCTGCCCCACTCTCTGGAACTCCATCCCGCAGTCCCTCCGTCTCGCCCCCTCCTTTGCCTCCTTCAAGACCCGTCTCAAGACCCACCTCTTCGACTGTGCTTTCCATCTCCCTCTTCTCCCCCTTTCCTCAGACCCTCCCCAATCCCGACCCCGACCTCGGGTCCAAAACTCTGACTTGTCCAGTTTCTTTGGACGTCCTCTCGACGTAAAAGGCTCCATGTAAATGTAATATAATGTTGTTGCTGTCGTCTCTTTATCTCTGTATAACTCTCTCTCTAACTGTCTATCCGTATCTCGCTCTATCTCTAACTCGTTTATGCCCCTCAATCTTTCTCTCCTTTTCTCTGCCTCTCTCTGTTGGGACGTCCTCCCGACGTGAAAGGTGCTATATCAAATGCAAGGATTATTATTATAATCTTCTTGTTGTTGTTGCCTCGCTCTCTATTTCTCTCTCTCAATCTCTCTCTTTCTCTCTCTCTCTATATCTCTCTAACTAACCGTTCTTCTGTTCCTCTCCCCCCCCCCACCCACCCACCCACCCCACTCAGGAGCAGCCAGGGTTTTATGCACATGAAGTTCAGCCGAACGAAAGACTCCAAATACATTCTGGGCCTGAATAGCGCTCCCTTTGACAGTATCCCAGAGGTGATCGAACACTATACCAGCCGCAAGCTGCCCATCAAAGGTGCCGAACATCTCTCTCTGCTCTTCCCGGTGGTCGTGCAGACCCTGTGACCCCCCCCTCCCTCCAACTTCCACCCTGGGCCCTCACCAACTATGGGAGAGGGGGCAGCGAACGAACACTATGTCCTTCCCAATAGCAGGGAAATCAGACTACGATGCTGCCACGAACCTCCTGAGGGCGACTGAAACACATCATTTTGTTATTCCCCCCACATCCATCCAGGAGGAGGCACAAGATGGGACGATTCCACGGACAACCTCGTCCACCGCTCGTGCTTCATGTACATGTGGCTGATTATTTGACCTTGGAGTGGGGAAATGTGTGTGTGGGGAGGGGGGGGGGGGCTGGGCGGGGGAGGGGGGCTGCTTTGGTTGGGAACCAGTTCCTGCCGTCGCCTGACATATATACACACAAACGCTCTCTCACTTGCACCCTCTCACACTCTCCTTCTCCCCCCCCTCTCTCTCATTCCCCCTCTCTTGCACTCTCTTCCCCCCACACTCTCTACTCTCCTCTGTTGCACTCTATCTCTCCCTCTTTCTACCCCTCTCTCTCCCTCTTTCTGTTTCTGGCTGATAAGATTTAAGGTTTAAATCAATTTAGGAAGTTCCCTGGCACTTTCCAAGCACAGATAATCCTTCAGACCAATTGTGGTTTCAATTAATCTGAGATCAACAGGTTTAATATCCACTAAATTGGCTTTTCAATTGTTAAGTCCTTCCCAGCGCACAATCCCGTATCCGTGGGTTGGCGTCACATACCAGCACTCCTCGGTGAGCTACAGCACAGCTCCCTCTCCACTGTGCGTCCACACTCCCAGGTGAGGGTTAGAGACAGAGTAAAGCTCCCTCTACACTGTCGGTCCACACTCCCAGGTCAGGGTTAGAGACACAGTAAAGCTCCCTCTACACCATCTGTCCACACTCCCAGATCAGGGTTAGAGACTCAGTAAAGCTCCCTCTACACAGTCTGTCCACACTCCCAGGTCAGCTCCCCCTACGCTGTCCCTAAGATGCAGAAGAGCACCCCTACTGTACCAGACTGACATTCTCCATCCCCCCACACTCACTGGGAACTGGGCACAAACTCCTCTCGCACAGGGAACAGCCAACACACACAGGGAGACTTTCAGCCCCTTGGTCTCAGCTGGATTCAAGCACAGGGCACTGAGGTGAAAGGTTAGTGGCTACGAACACTACACAACCCAATCTTGCTGAACTCCTGTAGGTCCCTTTGCTGCCGACTCACCTCCCAGTAATAAGAGCAGCTCCTGCCCAGGTTTCGAGACAGACGAGATTGGGTCTTGATGTCTCAGAGATCCGCTTCAGCCTGTTCAGAGGTCAGGGCACTCAGGTTGACCTCATTCTGTTTAACAGAACAGCCCCTGCACTTTACGGTAAATTTCTTGGAATGCACTTTGGGACGTCCTCCCCAACGTGAAAGGCGCTGTGCCAAAAAAAAGGATTATTATTATTATTATTGATTGAGCGATTCGAGATGTGACACGTTTTGTGTTTCGAAGACACGCAGAGGGTTTTGCATGAGATATTGGCCGTTTGTTCAACCACCTGCTACGCTGATGGTCCCAGTGAAACTTTCCACTTGCCTGCAGTCTGAACTTGGTTCCATTTTGGTGCGTTGCCTGTAATGTGTGTAGTTTGGGTCCCCCCTTCTGGCGAGGAACCTGTACTTCAACCTCAGTCCGGACAGCTCGGCGGCTGCTTTAAAACAGACTGTGACCGTCTTAATAATGACAACAAATGACATTTGTATAACGCCTTTCACGTCAGGACTGCATCCCACAGAGCTTCCTAACAGTCTGTCTCATGCAGTACCTCCGCTATTGGAGGTAGTGCCTTACACAGTACAGATAATAATCTTTTTCTTTAAAAAATGACTGTTACCCCAACCGGTTAAATGATATAAATGGTATCGTTCAAGCGGGGACTCTGGAACGCTACCCTACATGAGGGAGCACTATATAAATGCAAGTTGTTTCCCAGTAATATGATCTTTCGCCCTCTCACAGGAATCCAGGTTGGGTTGTTACAATAAGATTCTTTTTGGGTGTTGTTCCGACTGGGAAATGGAAAATTGCCCCTTTTCGAGCATCGAACTTTCCTTATCAGCTACAGCCCGGGTTAGAAACAGACTAAAATGCCCTCTATACTGTCCGGCCACACTCCCAGTTCAGTGACAGCGCAAGTTAGAGACAGAGTAAAGCTCCCTCTATGTCACTCCTATCTGTACTTCAGCCCCATTCTCAGAAGAACGCCCCAACACCGGGCTGACGTTCTCTGTTCCCCTGTATATAAGCTGTCCTGTGGCCTCTTGGAGCGAGATTGACAATTTGGGGGTGAATTTGGGGCAGGTTTGTGCTGTGATCCCCACACCCACTGGCCTCAGATCGGCCCCAAACTCCTTACACAGGGACCCTCGCAGCCAACAGACACGGGGAGACTTTCTGTCCGTGAATCTGGGCTGGATTCAGCCCAAGCTGCCGAGGTCTCAAGGTAAACCTGCCAACCTGCTGTGGGCATTTGTGTAGTTCGTGTAGCACAGTGACAGAGACGTACAAAAGAAAAAATATCTTTTGGCCCACGTTTGGTTCACAAGAGAAGTTCAGATGAAGAAGGCCCTTTGGTCCATTACATCTCTTTCCTCCAGAACACAAAGCTTACCATCTCTCCATCACAGGAAATCAAGCTGTTTCTTAAATAAATTCCATTTCCCTGCCTCAAGCACCATTCCTGTGTGAAGAAATACTTCCTGTCGTCTGCCCTAATCACGTCCTTAAAGATGCTCCAGTTCAGGTGTTAGAAAAGAGCCAGGTTTTGATCCATTGATTTAGATGATCTCAGCCATGGAAAGGGGCAGTGTTGAGGCTTCAACATTTGACCACAGGGTCCTTTCTCCCCCCACCCTCCCCGCCCCCTGGCTACAGAGGGCAAGACATTAGCCAGAAGCCGTGCTCCTGATGGCTTTTGACCCTATTGGAATGTGCGGACACAGCATGAGGACGGAATTGGCTTTAACTTATGGTGTTTCTCCCCATCTATTCCCTCCATAGTTAAATAGCCTGACTGCACTCCCCGGGTATATTCATGCATGAGGTACATCACTGGGGGGAAGAGTGTAGGGTGTCAGATACCCTTGAATCTGCACCGTAATGTCTGTCAGCAACTTCAGGACAACAAGGGAGGTAACTAAGCAAGGTAAGTGAGGGGCTATGTTTGTTGTGGCCTCACTGTTGTTGATGTGGATTATGTATAATAAAAAGAACCTTGTTGACATGATTGTACAATATTAAATTCATTTGTATATGCTCCCGTTCTGTCTGATATCTGTACAGTGCCTTCAAATGTGTCGGTATTTATTTGAGTTTAGGAATTTGCGGTGAACAGAGTGTGGAATACCGTTCTGTAAGAAAATAATTACTGACTAAAAGCTCATCAAATCTCACTCCAGTTGGCTCTTGTGTTCAACTGATTTACTGTACTGCTCGGTTGAATTTTGTGCTATTGAAGGTGAGGACGTTAGTGCTGGGAATCTAAACTTTACCAACTCAGGCCCCAGTTAGAGATAGAGTAGAGCTCGCTCTACACTGTGCATCAAACACTCCGAAACTGAGGAAGACAGGAGTCCTACAGAGTATGGGAGGGAGGGAAGGAGTATGTGGACTCCTGTACCTTAATGGTTAGAGCACTCGCCTCGCAAGCGAGAGGACCTGGGTTCGATTCCCAGCCAGGGCGAAACTTTGGGCAAGTTGCCTTACTTCACACGCCTGCTTCAGTTTACCTAGAGGTAACTAGGAACCCTGTTCGATTGGCGGATCACTTTTCCGGGGGTAATAATCCCTTCAAAAAAAGATTTTAAAATAATAATTTGGTCACTGAATCCACGACTGTGTGTGGGACGCTGCCGTGTGCAATTTGCTGCCGCGTTTCTCCCACAAAATATACAGTCAATCTATTTCGCAGTATATTCTGTGAAGCGCTTTGAGACGGCTCGAAGACGTGATAAGGCACTGTACCAAATGCAAGAATCAAATGCAAAGATGTAAAAAATTCTGTATAAGGTGTCAATTGTATTAACCCCTCTCCCTCGCCTCCTTCAAGGCCCGTCTCAAGACCCTCCTCACGGGTGCATCATTGACTGTTCAGCGCTATGGAACATCCTCTCGACGAGAAAGGCGCTGTGTAAATGTCATTTGTTGTTGTACTTTTCCCATTTCTCTCCTACTTTCCGTTTGTAGTCTTCGTCTTCGGTCATTTCTCAGTTGTTGGTGGATGAACCTTGAGCAGATGCAATGAATCCACCAACTGTCTTTCAATACTCTGGAGTGTCTCGGTTGAGGATGGAGTAAGGGATTGGAGCCGCTGTAGACAGCTCCAGTTCACTCTCGTCCAGGTTCAGTGGGCAGTGTGGTTCAATGACTTCCTTCTGCCTTCTCTAGGGTCCTTTACCTGACCGTATAGATCACATTTTTTCTCGATTGTCGGTCTGTAATTTTTCTGACCACCTTTGAAGTGTATGTTGGCGTAAATAGGATCCCCTGTGGACAGATGAGACCAGTCCCCAGTTCACAAAACACACAGTCACTCCACTTTACAGTATATCCCATGAAGGTCTTTGACACATCCTCCTGACATGAAATACTAAATATAAGTATTATTATTATTATCATTATTATTGTTGTCCTGACAGTCTGGAACTAAAAATCCAAATCTCGGCTGATTGTGGGACATTGCTGTGCACAAATTAGCCATAGTTGGCCTACAAATGTGCAGTGACTGCACTCTACACTAAGTCCCCAGACGTGCTTTGAGATGTCCTGCTCTTGGGAAAGGGCCCGTATCAGTTATTATTATTACTAATTTTAAATTGTGAACAATCTTGGAGTTGAGAGAGTGCCCAGAACACAGGCAGGGTTTTCCGATTCTGTAGCCATTTGTCAAGGATCCCGACTGCTTCCCAACCGGAGAGTTTGATCAAATGGTTCAGCTTAGACTTGGGTTTTTTACCAAGGACCTTCGCTGGGCTGTGAGGT